ACCGGGAGGGCGGGGGGCAGCGCGGGAGGGGAGGAAGAGGAGGAGGAGGACGAGCGGCAGGAGGAGGAGGAGGGGGCGGGGGCCTCCCGGTGCTGCGGGCGGAGCGCGGGATCCCCCTCCCCGGTGCCGGGGCCCGGGGGACGCCCCGGTGGGAGCCGCCGCCGCCGCCGCCGCGCAGCCGTGGCGTGTAACGAGCTGGCGGGTCTCGGCGGGCGGAGAGGGGAGGGAACACGGCTGCTCGGGGCCTCTTCCTCCTCGAGGAGGACCTGAGGAGGGTCCGGTAGACCCCCACCCAGGGCACCCCGTGCTCCCCAGTCCCCCTCCAGGGTGCCCTTTGCCGATCCCCGTCCCGCCTGGACATCGCGGGGACCGGCCGGCAGCCTGCGGTGCCGGTAAGGACCCGGGCGGGAGCAACTGTTCCATTTCTGTAAATAAAGCCCTCATCACCGCGTCATTTTCCACTTTTGTTGACACAGTGGCCGGTGACATTCGTCCCTTTCACTTTTAAGGCTGAAATGACGGAGACATTCCAGGTGTGGTGTTCCCAGAATGAGGACGCTGAGGAACGAGGTGGGAAATAGGGCCAGTGATGGACAAGTCATTAATGTCCCCACAGTGCCCTCAGGGCAGAGCACGGTCATCACCCACGCAAAATCAGCCCAAATTTCTCCCCTCCCGGACGAGTAACTGGATAAAAGCCTCGTGGAGTGCCGGCTCCAGCAAAGCGACGTTGAGGCAATTGAGCCAGAAGGCTGGTAGCCAGCTGGCCACCGCAGCGCTGGGCACTGATGGGTGCAGTGCACTGGTGTATGCAGTGCACGGCTGTGTGCGGTGCAGGGGGACGGGCGGCTGCAGCCCCGCGTGTGTGCCCGTGGCAGAGGGAAAGATGGAGGAGGGAACTAAGATCATTCCTGATGCCCCCTGCCCGCCTCGTGCTGGCCCATGCCCCTGAGCTGGAACCCAAGGATCCTCCACATCCCCCAGCTCCCTGTGCAGCCCCTGGGTCCCTCCCAGTCCCCACCTCCAGGCTGACCCCGCCTCGGGATCGGCGGGGTCGTCTCCTCTCCCCACCCCCACTTTCCAATCCAGGACATTTGGGTTGCCAGCACGGAACGCCGTCTAATCTGCCCTCTAATCCCGCAGCCGGGCGGCCGCACGGGCCCTGAGCCGCCGCGGGGCTCCCCGGGCTGGGGGCTGGGGCCGGAGCTCCGCACGCGTCCGGGGGCCCCGCCGGGTCAGGGGCTTCCTTCACATCTGCCACCACCTGATAACAAACGAGGCTCCTCAACAAAGGTCCCTTTGTGCCCCACAGCTCCCTCCTGCTGGGCTCCCACACCCAGTCACCCAACACAGGCACGGGACGGGGCAGCCCCTGCCCCGGTGGCCTCACCGGGCACTGGGACCTCTGTGACCGGGACACGACGCGGGGCTCTGTGGGGCCAGTGGGGTGCACCAACGCTGTCCCTCCTCCCTGGCTGTGCCAGGCTTTGCAGGAGGAGCTCCAGCCTCACGTTCCTGCGGCTCCCTCGGGCTCTTGCCAAGTCGGGTTGGTCTTTGCAGAGCAGAAAAATGTGCAGTGAAATGTCCCTGTTCCTGCCTTGCACACGCCGAGAGAAACCAGCGCCTGGAATGGGCAGAGCCGCAGGCACGGGGGGTTTGGGGTGGGCACCGCAGGGAACAGGCACGTGGAAACCCGACTGTGGGAGCCGGAGGCACCACCGGCAGCAGGAGGGCTCGTCCCACGCAGAGATCCCCACGCATCCCCCCCAGCTGCCTTTCCGATGGGAAAGGAGTGCACTGAGGCCCCTGCCTGGGCGCAGGAGGCAGCAGGGGTCTGGGAACACATGGGGCCCTGGGGCCTGGATTAATGGAGGGGAGGGAAGAGATGAGGGCAGGGTTTGGAGGATGGCTTGGCTCAGGACGCTCACCCCCCTCCCAGCGACCAGGGATTCATGGTGGCTGAAAGCAGACATGGGGTTGGGGAGTGGGTGCTGGTGGGAGCCTGACAAGGCCCCTGCACAGCCCCCTGTCACTGCTCCATCCCGGGTTCCAGCCCTCTCCCTGTGCCATGCAGCACCCAGCCCCAGCACCGAGCTGGATCCCGTCCTGCAGGGAGGGCATGGCCACCCTTGAGGCCAGCACGAGGTGTCCCCATGAGCCCTGTCACACTCTGCCCTGAGGCTTGCCAACCTCTCCAGCTCCAGCAGAGCCGGAGCAGGGGCCCAGGACAGACCTCAACCCTCCACACCGGCCCCAGCTCCCCCTCCCTGCATGGGGGCCATGACACAGAGCCATGGCCCCTCCAGCACCAGCAGCATCTATGAAAATACTTTATTGTGGAGCTGGGTGTGCAGGGCCCCGTACAGCGCGAGCGGCAGCGCCGTCACCAGCAAACAGACACGCGGTGCTGGCCCCCGAAGACCAGCCAGGGGGGCAGTGAGAGCTGGGGGGCTGCAGCCCCTACGTGGCCTTGGGCCGGCCGTTGAGGCGGATGATGGCCCGGTAGTCCCGCACCAGGTCCCGCAGCTGGTCCAGGTAGGGGTTGACGTTCTCCTCCATCCACTCCTCCACCGTGTCTGGGAAGTAGACCCTCTCCAGCTGGGCACGCAGGTCACGGACAAAGCTCTCCCAGTCCTCATGGAGCCTGGTGGGGGGAGAGCAGGGGTCCAGCTCCCTTCTGTGAGCCTGGGACCCCTTCCAGCCCTGCAGAGGCACCCGGGGGGGCTCCCAGCCCCCAGCACCACATACTTCAGCACCTTGCTGCCGAAGCTCTCCATGTTGCGGGGGTTCCCAAAGTGGTGCTTCCGATGGTAGGGGCTGAACCAGCCCTTGATGGCACTGGGGAGGTACGAGGGAGTGGGGGGCACAGGGGCCAGGGATGGGGAGCTGCATGTCAGGCAGGTCCCCTCCCATGGAAAACCTCTTGTGTTCCAGCCCTGTGGCCCAAGCCACCAATCCCACTGCCTCCCGCCGCCTGTTACCTCTCCTCCTCCAGAGCCTTCAGGATGCTCTCCCTCAGGTGGCCATTAACCTGCTCCACCATGTGGTAGATCTCCACACCAGGGAACGCTCCCCTGCCCTCGCTGGGGAAGGGGAGGCCAAGGTGAGAGCCCAGCATGTGGAATGCACTGGACTGGGTGAAGCCCAGCACTCTGCGTGGCTGGAGGGTGCCCACCCTCAGCCCAGAAGGGTCTGGTACTGGGGAATTTGGGTGACCAACTCCCTGGTCCCCACCAGTGCATCCCTTCTGATGCAATTGGGGTGGTCACGCACCAGGTGCTCTGCTCCAGCTGCACACTCTCCAAGCCCAGCACATCCAGGACCTTCCTCTTTGCCTCTTCCGTGAAGCCCCCTGGGAAGGGTGAGGAGAGGGACAAAAAGGCTTGGGCCACCCCACAATCAGGCTCACCCCTGGCTTCACCACACCCCCAAAACTGGAGAGACTGAAGCTCCTCCTCCCCTGCCTCCCACCTCCCCCCTGTCCCCTTCCCAGCAGGACAGGCTCTGGCAGGCAGTGGGAGGTGGGGGTGAGCCTGGCCGTGCCGGCAGGGCCGCTGGCTCACCGTTCACCAGGGTCTGCAGGCAGATGGCCAGCGAGGGGATGCCGACGGGCAGCAGCTCACAGAGCACCGAGTAGTGATCGTACCTGCAGGGTGGGGACAGCCATGCCATCGCCTCCTGCACTGCTGCCAGCGAGGCTGTGTGGGCACCGGGGTGGCAGGGAGGGGGTTCTGGTGCCCCTCACCTCTGCCAGCCGGTGAGCACGATGCCCTGGAAGCGCAGCGGGGCCAGCCGTGGCAGGGCCTGCATCACCTTCAGCCAGCTCAGGTGGTTTTTCAGGTGGTAGCTCAGGGGGGTCCAGGTCTGTGCCGGCCCCGTGGTGCCCTTGAAGGCGCTGGCAAACCAAACTGCCTCGAAGCCACTCTCTGCATACTTGGTGAGGAATGGCTCTGCAGTGGGACAGGCACGAGCCGTCAGTGCCACTGAGCCCAGGAGGCTGTGGGGAGCTGGGGGCAGATCCTCCCAGCATCCCCAGGAGCCTGGCACGTCACCTTACCGATCTGCTCAGCCTCGAAGTCGGGTGCGTAGAACCACACCACGGGTGAGACGTGCTTTGCTATCCCAGACTCTGCAGGGAGAGCAAGACGGGGACACTGGCACTGGTGCCAGCAGCAGGAGCACGCCTGGGACTCCTCAGCCTGAGACCCACATTCCCACAGGGCTAGGCATGGGCTCCTGCCAGCACCAGGCATGACACGTGCCAGGGCACCACGTGAACTGGCACTGCCGAGACACAGGACAGACCTCGGCTGACACCCCAGACACCACTGCCGTCCCTGTCCCCTCACCCCGCAGGGCTCCCACGCTGATCTTCCTCAGCATGTCGTCCCACATGAGCACCCGCAGCCCCCAGTACTGCGCAGAGAGGAAGCCCAACACCTCCTTGATGTGCTTCAGGAACATGGTCCCCACATCGCCCTTGTTGCGGCTCATCCAGTTCTTGGAGTCCATCCCCTCCCCGAGATGGAAAACCTGGACTTGGGGGAAGGGGGATGCTCAGCACCCCTGGGAGCACCCCTGGGGCGAGGGCTGGGGTCCCTGCACAGCCCACTGCCCACCTCATCCGCGCCGATGTGGATCCAGGTGGAGCGTCTGTGCTTCTCGATCACCTGGGCCAGGACGCTCCTGAGCAGGGCCAGGGTGTTGGGGACGTGGGGGTTGAAGCTGTTGGGGAAGCGCTCGACCTCCCGCAGGTGCTGGTACTTCTCGTGCTTGAGGATGAACTGTGGGAAGGAGCCATCAGGGGGGTTTCCAGGGGAAACTCTTGTGATTTGGGATGGGGAGCAGGACCGGGACCCCCTACCTCCACATGGCCAAAGGTCTGCACCAGGGGAACCACCTCCAGCTTGTGTTGCTCCGCCAGCTGCTGGATCCGCTCGATGTCCTCCTCGCTGGGAGGGCAGGGACAGGCTCACCGGGGGATGCCAGGGCAGAGGGCAGAGCTTGGGGAACTTCCTCTCCTCCTCTGGCACCCTGCCCATATGGCTCCCGCCACCCCACACATGTGTGGACTTTACTAAAGGGCACAAATATTGTCCCAGCAGGGCAGGAAGCCGGTCTGCCGGCGGCACAGCCTGGCACTCCGACCATGGTTATCGCAGGCACCGGGCCAGGTGGGTCACACCCAGCCCTGGCACAGCAGGACCCGCCGGGGCCGCCCCACTGGGCAGCTCAGCACACAGCCCTGCTCACCTGTAAGCGTACGGGGACCTGAGGACTTCCAGCTCCCCCTTGAAGGGGAACATGTCCTCGTACTCGATGAGGATGCCGTTGGCTCCCAGCTGGGACAGGAAGGGGAACACCTGCAGGGTGGGCAGGGTGGGCTCAGCAGTGGGGACAGCACAGCAGGTTGAGCCCCCCCAGCACATCCCTCCTTGGCACCTTCTCCCTGCCGCTGGGCATCCTCACCTGCTCCAGGTAGGAGACCCTGGGAGCAGCTCCCTTGAGGTCCAAGTGGACCAGCCTCATCTCGGTGGCACTGACATCCCTGGGGACCTGCTGCCCAGGCTCTTGCCTCAGGGCCGTTATCTTCGCCTCAGGGAGCTCCAGAACCTGGCTCTGGGGGATGACATCCTGGATGATGTCACCTGTGTCCCCCCAGAACCCGCTGTCCTTGCTGACGTGCTTGTGCAGCTCCAGGGTAAAGCTGCAGGGAGTGGAGCAGGGATGGGGGTGACACAGGGCACCAGCTGCTCCCCAGCACCAGGCACCTACCTGGGCATGACCCAGGGGCTCTCTACAGACCCCCAAGCCCCCAGGGGTCCTGCTGTCACCTCACCTGTCACGGAAGAGGAACTTGATGCCGGCCAAGGCGATGAGGAGCAGTACGACAAGGCGCAGCAGGTTCAGGCGGTGGCTCCGCTGGAAGGCCATCTCTGGGGACACACACAGGGTCCAGCAGTGGCCAGAGGGACCCCAAGCACAGGTGACCCTGCACAGCCCAAGGAACCGTGCCCTGCTCCCCTGACTGGGGTAGCATGAGACCCAGAGAAAGGTGACATGGGGGCAACCCCTCCGCCACCCTGGTCCCCATCAGGGACATGCACAGCAGTGCCCCGTGTCCCTCCTACCTCGTGTGCCCCAGCGTGGGGCCAGCGGCTGGATCAGCCTCTCCCTCTGCCTGCAAGGGCGTGGCCAGTGCCAGAGCAAACAGGGCGGTGCTGCAGGGCAGGTCCTCCACGGGGATCCCCTCCGGCTGCGGGGTCACCCCCGAGACAGGGGCTGTGTCACAGGGCGGTGGGGTGGGGTGGCATCAGGGAGTGGGCACGGCACAGCCCTGCTGATGGAGGAGAGGTGACTGGGGACCACTTGGGCACACGCCAGCACTGGGCTGCTCCAAGGACAGCATCGGCACAGCCACGGGCACTAGCAGGGTGAGGGTGGCAGCCTGGACCCCCTTGGCACCCACAGGGGCCATGTGAGAAACCTTGCTGTGTCCAGTTAAAGCAGTGCTTGATCCCTGACAGGACACAGGACAGGCCGTGCAGGCTGCAGGGATGAGCTCATGTCACAGAGGTGTCACAATTAAGACGAATAAATTTCATTTGACATATTTTCTTTGTAAACTAATTTTGAGAACTCCTGAGATGAGGAGTTCAACTCAGATGAAAGTGAGCCTAAATCAAAGCAGCCTTCATGGAGCAGGAGGTGGCAGCTGCCTCATCCCTATCTCCCACAGCCACAGCTTGAGGGACAGCACAGAATTCCATATCCAGTGGCACATGACCAGCCCCAATTCCCAGACTGCCTACAGTGTCCCACACAGGGGCACTGTGGCTGCAGCAGGAGATGTTCAGCCAGGCCAGACCCTGGTGAGTGCAGCGCTGGGGACACTGCTGTCACTGGGGCACCACTCCCGCCAGCCCCAGGAGCCACCAGCCTCTGCAGCCCCAACACAAACCCTGGAAAAACACCACAGCACCCCGTGTCCTCCACTCCAACAGTCCCCTCGGGCTCCTCCTCACCCACAGCCCTGCTCCCAGGTGACGAGGGACCCTCAGTGATGCCAGCTCCTACCCCAGGAGCCCAGAGCTGCCCTCCTGTGGGCAGCACATCTCCCATGGCCCTGCAGCACGACAGGCAGGAGGCAGCACAGATTCTCCCGGGAGCCGCACACAAGTATCATTTCCGCCCTTTCCCCCCCTCTTTTATTTTCCAGTCCTGCTGTATTTGTTGAGGCAGGGACGGGGCAGTCCATCCACCCCCAGCCCCTCGGGGGCAGGAGCCTGCTTTTGGGGAGCAGGCTGTTCCCTGCACTCCCTTCCCTGCACGGACACTGCACCTCCTGTGCTCCAGGGGATAAGTGTGGTACCCACTTCCTGCCCTGCCCAGGATGCTCCTGGCAGCTCCAGCACAGCCCAGCAGGGATGTGCCAGGCTGGGGACAGCTGCCAGGCTGGGGGTCACCCCAAGTGCACAGGAAGGCACAGAGGGGACATGAGAGGGGGGTCAGTGGCCCCGTGGCGCATGGCATGGGGAGCCCAGCACCCAGGAAGGCCATAAATATGCCAAGTGCTAATGGGGCTGTCATGGGAACACAGCGCCTGACCGGAACAGGGATAAATATTTAGACAGATGCTGTCAGCTCGCCAGGATTCGGCGTTTTTAATGTACATTATGTTATTTAAATAGGGCAGGTTCCCAGGGTCTGAGTTCCCAGGCAGCCAGGGGAGTGGGATGGGTGCTGGCCAGAGCGGGGCGGCAGCACCAAGGTGTGATGGGGGCAGCCAGGACACCACATCCCTGTGCCATCGGGAGATCCCTTGGCAGTGAGGGCTCAGCTGATGGATGCTGCCCCTCTAACCCAACATCTCGCCGCTAGCACCCACTATATTTATTAACGTCACATCTTCTGCTGCCAACACTTCGGGGATGGCGCTGGCACAGTCCCCGGGAGGCTCGGAAGAGCCCACAGCCCCTCACAACCAGCCAGTCTGACTCAATGTCCTCATGGTGATGGGGTGAGGAGGGGCCAGACCCTCACCCTCCTGCCTGCCTCCACACAGCCCACATGGGCTTTGCTTCCAGCTCCCCGAATCCAGTCCAGCTCCTCACCTACCTGCCTGAGCCCCAAGCCCCAAGGAAGATGGAAGCAAACCCAAACCTGCCCATGGAGAGTGCCGGGCCATGGGGAGGATGGAGCCGAGTGCCCCAGGGTGGCAGGTGCCACTGCTGCCCACTGGGTACCTGCAGGTGCCACTGCAGCCCACAGACCAGCAGTGAGGGTTTCGGGTGCCACTCAGCTGCCCAGCGCTCCAGTGTTCCCACTGTTTCCGTGCCAAACCCTCGCTCCCTCCGCACACACGACAGTGCGGCTGTGGGAGGAGTGACACTGCTCCGTGTACACTTGTGTGCACACTCACATGTGCATACACACGTGCACACTCACACGTGTGCACACTCACATGTGCACACACACGTGCACACTCACACGTGTGCGCACACACACATCTGCACACTCACATGTGCACATGCTCAGGTGCTTCCAGAGCATTCCATGGCCAGCCTGGCCAAGACCATTCTGTATTCCCAGCCTGTGCCACCCCACAGGATGAGCTGCCCCTCCCCAGAGGCCACGGTGCTGCAGCCCCACAGCCCGGGGCTCCTGCGAGGAGAGGCTGTGGACATCCCTTGGGGCTACAGCCCCTTGGCAGCAGGAGGGGCTGTTCCCCCAGTCCCCGGGCAGAGCTGGCCCTTGTCCCATCCCCAGGACACTGAGGCACCCCCTGGGCCTTTCCACCCCCCACCCAGCCCTCTGTGCCGTGGGGCACTACCTGCACCCTGCAAACCTGGCACACCCCTCAATGCCCACACCAAGGGCATCCATTGGGCATTCCCGTGCCCTGTGTTACCCTCCAGGCTCTGCTCGGCATCCTGGCAATCCCCCCAAGCATCCCTGCAATCGCCCCGAGCATCCCTGCATCCTCCCGGCTATCCCTGCATCCTTCCCGAGCATCCCCGCATCCTTCCCGAGCATCCCCGCATCCTCCCGTCACCGCTCCCCGCCGCGGCCACGGGCATCCCCGCATCCCCCCGGCCTCCCCGCGGCCCCGAGCATCCCGCGCTGTCCCGGCTCTTACCGGCAGGTGCGGGGCGGCCGCGGGCACCGCCGGGAGCGGGCGCGAGCGCGAGCACGGGCACGGGCACGGGCACGGGCACGGGCACGGGCACGGGCACGGGCACGGGCACGGCCGCCGCCGCCGCTCTTAAAGGGCCCGGTTCCCGCCGGTGCGGGAGGAGAGGAGGGGTGGCGGGGCCTCAGCAGCCGCCGCACCCAGCGGGGACCGTGCCCACGACCCCGCACGGGGGGACCACCGGCAGCGCGCGGAGCCGCCGCCCGCCCTGCCCGGGGCCGCACCGGCACAACGGGCGGCTCCGCGGTGCCCGCTGTGTGCCCGGTGTGTGCCCG